AACCGCTCTGTTTTCCCACAGTAAGAAATCCATTTCCAATGAGATCTTTTCCTCACTACCCACCTCCACGACCTGGATTTTTGCCACCGCCACCTCCTGAAAATAGAACTGAGCCACCTCAATCAAACCCTTCTGCTGCAGAGCAACCAGAACCCCAGCCACAAACTTGACAGTGTTGAGTGATGTGAGGTGCCATTTCTGCACTCAAATGGCATTTTTCTAATGCTCAGTTAAGTAACTATTTGTTACTTAGGGATATATATATAAGCTACTTTGCTCAAATTGAAGCTTAATAGAAAATTCTCAGGATAGTATTTTGTAAATAAAGAATGCAATAACTATGGATATTGTGAATAAGTGGTTTCTGTTGTACAGTAGTAACTTTAAGTATTTCTAATTTGAGTAATCTCTTCAGAGGTGTATAAATTTAAATCAGGGGGGCAATGATTTAAGTAGTCTGTGGCTTGTCCTTGTTAAGCTGTACAGGGAATCTTTGCATGCCAAAAGTTATGCTTGCTTTATGAATAAAATGTGAAAATGTTTTGATTAATAAAAAAATCTGCTGAAAATGTAGCTAATGAAATGAACCTTTCCTTGCACGTTCCCTGCTCAATGCTGTGCAGTCTTGCTGAACTGTAGAAATAGATGAAGGGAGGAGGATTAAGAGCATTCCCTTGTTCATCTCTCTGCTCTTCCTCTCCTGGTAGGCCATCCTTCAGCTGTCACAGAGCTTTATAAGGGGCAGCTGTAAAGCTGGCATGACTTACCAGGAGCATTGAGGAGGGGGGAAGACAGAACTCTTCCTATCAGTATTGAACCCTGTCGCAGGGCCCCTGCCTGGTTTTCATCAGCGGGAAGCAGGGCTGGTGCAGGAAGTGCTGCTGAGCCTGCGCAGGGGCCGGGCTGCAGCCAGGCCGCGGCGGGGTGAGCGCAGCCCATGAAGGTGCAAGGAAGAAACACAGACTCCCTTTCTCCAGAATGGGCCCGGAGCGAGCCTACCTGCTCGCCAGAGGAAGGCAGAATTGTCTATCTCAGCGGCAGGCAAAAGCCATCAGGAACATACTGGTGGGAAAACATGCGAAATTTTTATAAAACAGAGTTGCTTAAGTAATGTAAAAGGTCTTTGGTATGAACTGTCTGTACATGCTTCATAGTGGTAGCTAGGCTTCACAAAAAAAAGGGGGCAAAAGAACTTGAAAGGCACAAGACCGAACCTGCAGAAACAAAAATAAATTATTTTGTGTCCAAGCAGGAACACGGTTGTCTAGTCCTCCTCCTCCTGGGAGGTTGCTATTGTACTAGGCAAGGCCCGACTCCTTCACCCGTGGGTAATGGATGTGAGGCAGAGCACAAGAAGCTGCCCACACTGCTCCTGCTTGTGGGCGGCAGAGCGAGGACCTCTGTTTTGGCAAAATAAGTGACTCACCCCTTTAACCTGGCAGCCCTGCAGCCTTGCCCGGAGCTCTGCCTCCTTCAGCCCCGGCTGCAGGGCCTGGGGCCGCGGGGCTTCCTCCTGCCCTGAGCCCCCGCACCATCTGTGCCCCCAAAGGCACAGGGACGGCCTCGTCCTTGCCCTCCAGCTTTACCAACGCTCATGCGCTCTAGAAGGGTTCCCCTGGAAGCTACCAGCTGTGCAGGCACTTTTGTTACTTAGCTTGAGGCAGGTGTGCTGCAACCATGTCATTACACTGCAGGTATGGGGCAAAGTGCCTTTAAAATACAGAAGCAGTCTTAGCAAAGCACTTCCCCGAGCAGCAGCAGACAGTTCCCTTTCCCATCCTCTCTGCATGCACACACACACACACACACACACACAGCTTCCCCCTCCCACGGAGCTGCCAGCCCTACAGTTGCGCTACTCTTGCAAGACACCACACTCCGAAAAACCCTCTCCAGACCCCTTTTGTGTAATTACTCCAGTTGGCCACAGGAGCTTTTCTCCTGTAACTCATTAACCCTGGTTTTCTCTTAATGGTATTTCTGATGATCTGCTGATCTCAGTTGCTTTTCAAAACTTTTTTCATGGCTCATTCTTGGAGGTTATTCTCATTTATGCTTCTGGTTTAGTCCTCAAAGACATTCAGCTTAACCTTTATACTTCAGCTGGTCCCTGACAGATTCTGGCAGCAGACATTTGAAGACTTGCCCATGCTCAATGTTTGTAACTGCTGCTTATTCCAGCCCTTGCATCACTTTGGCCACAGGTTTGCTTTCTGAAGGCTCTAAGTCCACCTGAAAGACTTTTGAGCACAGTTCTAAAGGAAACTATTTAATTTTACCTTTTTGCCTTTGATTTTAGTCTCAGGAACAACCAGAATTACAAATTACCAGCTAGGGTTAATAACCATTTTCTACTTGCAGAAACAAAAGTCATGAACTTGATAACACTACCATCACAAAAAGCATTTTTTTTTTAATCTGCCTTAAGGTTTGTAGGCTATATATGAATGTACCTGAACAAGTGGAGCATTGTCTCTGTGCAGGCTAAATCTTTATTCTAGCTCATAACTTAGTTAACTGCCTTCAAAACAAATCCTTCCTTCCTTCCTTCACCCTAGCAGTAGATGGCTTGCCCACAATGATAGATGAAGCTTGAGGCAAAATAAAAGCTGGTGGGACTAAGAAAATGCAGAACAAACCCAGATTAGATCATCCCACAGAGGAAAATGAAGAATTTCTGGCATATTAATGGAAAAAAAAAGTGCTTTTACTTGCAAAGTAGCAGTTAAAAAAAGTTCAGATTTATGCAAAAAGAAATAGGACATAGTAACCCCTCCACTGAACAAGTGAGAAGCAACAGGCAAGTGTTTATGGGGGGAAAAATACCCCCTGTCTCAAAAAAAAAGCCCTCCAGCTTTGAGCCCTGCTGCCTCACGTTCCAGGCTACTGTGACTCCAGCAGGACTAACTCAAGCCCAGTGTCTGTGCAGAGGAAAAACAAGGGATCCCATTTGGGATTATGTAACCCAAAGCCATGGCAAAAGCCACATGGCTGGTGACACCTCACTCCAACCCTGTTCTTCACATTAGGACTGTCTTGGTTCCCTACCACTTGGCTTAAAATTGCTTTGGTTTTAATCTCTTCATCTTGATATTTGTAATTCAAATCCCTGCTAAAAACATGAACAACAGCAACTACTTTTAAGTATTGCTAAAACATATGTATTTCTTTCATGTTGCTCAAGCTCCAAACTTCACCATAGTCATGACTAGACACCCCAGGCTTCAAAAACAAAGATTATTACAGCAGTTGGTACCTATGAAGTACTCTGCATTCTCATGCAGAATACAAGCCACATCGGTGGTTAGACCTAAAACATACTGGGAGGCAGCAATGGAGTACTCATAACAGGCATCTATTGACATAATAAAACATCTTAAACATGATGGTTGTAACTGCAAGAACAGACAGGATTGCACATCTCTACCCCAAGCCTCCCTATTACTCCTTTATCCTACCTTTGTGATTAGGAGGTTAATTAAAAGCAAAGCAGAAAATAGGTCAGACTAAAAAAAGAGAACACATTTATATTGCAAAGAGGGTAAATAAGTTCCCAAGCAAATAATGCAGTTACCACAGAATCCCAGCAGGCCGACCAGATCAAGGCAACACCCTGCAACTCTGTTTGAGAGGCATCCATGCTTCCTCCAGCAGCTTCCACAGAAACAGCCAGAAACATGGAGCATTTCCAGACCATCCCTGTAGCCCCATGACACTGAACCATCCCATTGGCTGTAACTGCTACATTAACTATATGTTGTAAATGTGACTGTCCAGAGCCTGGGTCCCAAAAGGCACTGGGATCGAGGCTACTAAAATACAAGAAGTTGCATCTACCTCATCTTTATTACCCACACCAAAAGGCCCTTTTCCTTTTGATACAAGTTTGCAAATGATCTTGCTTGCCCAGTCCCCGCGGCAGGGGGATTCCTCAAGCAACAAGAGACGCAGTCCCCGCGGCGGCCGCCAGGACACCAGGCTCGGAAGCCGGAATCGCGGCCGTGCTCGGCCCGCGCGCCTGCCGGGGCCGCGGCGGCTCCGTCCAGAACACACCGTACTCTGGGCGCCGATAAAGGCCAGACTGAAGCGTGGTCGGTATTCAGAGTCTATTTAATAGTGGGACATCAAAGAGTACTACACATTTTTCTAGAGCACATCAGTTTGATTTAAGCGATTGCAACGGATGCAGGAACTTCTCCAAGAGTTGTCTATGTTCTAAAGTCCACAATTTGCTGTATCAGTCTAATAAGTTGTATCATGATATATTGCTTGTGCTGACTGGTCTGAGCAGCTGATCTTTAGCAAAGCACCTTCCCCTTCCTCCCTCCACCTCAACACTGTTAACAGAATATCAGCCAAATAAGAAAATTTTACCGTACAACTTATTTTAGGCTCTAAATTTTGTTGACCTAAGCACAACGGGAGCTACCAGGTTATACACAGCTGCAGGATGATTGTTGCAGTTTAATTCTAAAAATCCTCATGCTGATACAATAAAATATTTTATACAGTGATCAATTTTTAATGCTTTATTCATTGATTAAAAGAATATACATTTAACATAAACCATACAACATCAGTCATCAATTCAAACATTCAGCTGGTTTCCTTACATTTTCTGTCAGGAGTTTTTTTTTATTATTCTGATCACATTTATAAGATAAAATCTCACCACATCTGGCATATACACACACTGTGCCAGTGGATTCACTCTACTGATGTACATATAAAATCCGCATGGTATGTGCTCACTGGAGACAAAACAGCGCACACCTGTCAAAAGGTCATTTTAATATAAGATGGTAAAACCATTTGTAAAACACATATAAACTTTTCCATAAATAGAATCATATCTGGACATCTGTTGCATAAATTGTGTTTTCCAAAGCTTACAATATAGCAGCCAGGTCTCAGCACTGCTGGGCACCCACGTTGGCCACTTACTTTATTATTGCAGACTGTCCTTTAAACATTAAATGCACAACATTCGTACCACTTAAAACTGGGGTCAGGTGGAAGTCTCACAGAGACCACGTCTGTACCGCGGTTGCCCTGAAACAGTTAAATCGGCTTTTAAAGCCTCTCAGATATAACAAGATTTTAAAACATACTTCATGGAATGTTCTTCATACATCGTAGCAGCTCATACCTGTGATAGAACAAGCTTTGT